TTGAGACTATTTTATTTCTGCTCTGATATTATTTATCACTGCTGACTAATTTTTGGATTTGGTTCATTAATAGTTTTACTTTAATATTGTTTTTTCCTAAAGTTATTTTAAATCTTTCTTATTTTTTAAGTGAGAATTTAATTTTACAAATTTTGCCCTTAGGTCTGATTTTTGTTGTTGTTGTTTGGTTGGTTGTTTCTGTGATTCCACTATTTAGTAGATTGTGTTTCCATTGTAATTTGTAATCCCCTTTCATTTTCTCCATTGATCCATTAATTATGAGAAACAGGACGTTCTTTTTCCATTTATATTTGAAATTTCATAGTTCTCCCTTTTGTCACTTTTCATTTTATTCCATTTTGTCAAAAATATACTTGTTTTTTTCTATTGCTAAGACTTATTTTGTATCCCAGCATATGGTATGTCCTGGCGAGTATGCATATGTAGCTGTGAGTGTGTGCTCCGCAGTTACTGGACAGTATTTTCTGGAATTGGGGCCATCTGGTCTAGTGTTCAGGCTAACGCTGATGCTTGCTGAGTTTCTATCAAGATAGGTCATGACTGAAGGATGTTGATGCCTCTACTATGTTATCAGTTGTTCTAATCAGGTATCTGTTGCTGTGATAAACCAACCAAGGAGGAAATGGTTTACTTGATATACAGGTCACATTCCATCACTGAGGGAAGTAAGGGCAGGAACTCAGGTAGGAACCTGGAGGCAGGAACAGAAGGATGCAGAGACGATGGAGGAGTGCTGTTCACTGGCTTCCTCTCTGGGCTCATGTTCAGTTCCTTCCTTATAACTCCCAGGACCACCTGCCTAAGCCTTGCACTGCTCATCGTGGGTTGGGCTCTCCCACATCAATCATTAACTAGAAACACCTCCACAGTCCAATCAGATGGAGACACATTCTCAATTGAGTTTACTCTTTCTAGCTGCCCCAGTTTGTGTCAAGCTGACAAAAAACTTTAGCAAGTACACGGATTATTGTTTCCTCAAGATCTTTTTGCTTTATATATTTAAGTATTCCAATAATGAGTGCATGAATGTGTATGTATACACACACAATTGTTATATGTTCTTGTTATATTAACTTTTTTATCATTATACCATTGGCTTCTTTGTTACTTTTTAAAGTTCTTAACTAAAGCCCTGTTGAGGTTTGAATATAAAATGTCCCAAATGCTCTTGTGTTAAAATCTTGGTCCACAACTGGCCAGGTTAGTCCATTAAGGAGTTCAAAGTTGAATACACAATTTGGAGGCAGGGCCTAATTGAAGAAAATATGTTGCTGGAGCATGCCTTAAAGGGTATATATTGTCCCTTGACTCATTCTGTCTGTCCTGCCTTCCCTCCCCTCCCTCTGTCACTCTGCTTCCTTCAGTCCTGAGAAAAATGGAGAATCCAATCAAGAGATTACATTTTGGAAACTAGAAACCAAAATAAATATTTTCTTCATTAAGTTGGTTTTCTCAGGTACTTTGTCACAGAACTGAAATATTAACATACACATGAAACTAATACCAGTGAGTGAATGCTGCTGGCTGACTGTGTGCTTCAGAATACACTGAACCCTGATGCAAGAAGTGAGTGGATGCTGTGAGCTGACTGTGTGTTTAAGAAGATGCTGAACTCTGATCCAAGAAGTGAGCGTATACTGCAAGCTGTGTGCTTCAGAAGATGCTGAGCTTATTTAGAGCTGCAGGTTGGGAAAAGCTTAGAATGTTGTGAACGGAGTATGATGTTATTCTTTACTGAGTTTTGTCTTTTTATTAGTTAAATTTGTTGTTTGGTGATTTCATTCATGCATGTATTGTGTCCTGATGACTTCCCAATCTCTCTTCTCTCCCACTCACTCCAACCAAACTTCCCTATTTGTATGACACTATTCCTGGGGAGATGTGAAGAATCATCTGCCCATACCAGCTAAGGATGACAGAACAAAGTAGGGATACCACCAAAGACCAAGTCGGTGAACCAATGAGTTTTATTGGGGTCTCTAACAGAAATATACATGAGAGGTCACTTATAAGAGCAGAAATGATTCAAAGATAGCTAACTGTATCACCAAAACATCTACTCACACAAGATAAGGGACAAATGACAGAACAAAACAGGGATGCCACCAAAGTCCAACTTGCAGGCAGTTAAATCTTGTGTGAGAATGTCTCTCAGTATGCCTTACTGATTATAAATGCTTGGGGAGGGAGGAGCCTAGTTAATCTGGTTAGTTTTAGGCACTTCCTGAGCCTGTTGTGTTGTTTGCTTCCTGATTTAATAGCGAGCCTCTCTGTAGGATGAAACGTTTTGCCTCTATTTGGAACTTCCTTTGGAAGAAGGTTTTATCTCAGAGGAAGCCATTATACAACAGCATCCCTGGAGCTTCCTGGACAATTTACAGGAGTCTCCTCTCTCAGCAATTATTACTGCTTATATAACCTTCTGAGAGCTGTCATGAATCTTGCAACATTCTGAGCCTTGTAAGATTCATTAGCTTCCTTAGACTTAAGAGCCTCACTCTTCCCTTAAAGAGAGAATGTAGCATAAGAGGACTCGACAGAGGAGGCAGCTCTCCCTAGGTGAGAGCAAGAGCACAAGCTGCTGTTACATGTAGTTCTCACTGGGCTCGGGAGGAAGTTCTCGGGACCTGTGGATTTTCTGGAAGAAGCAGGAATGGCATTTGTGGTTTTGACATCAGGAATTTGGGAAATTGAAAGTGTTGGTCACAGGAAAGAGGGTTTTTCAGGACGAAACGGGGCCTACTTTCTAGACAGGGGCACTTTTGATTGTCCAATTGCAACAAGAGCAACGAGGGAGTTACAAAAGACCGTTCGGAGATTGACTGTGAATATGACATTATTGTGGGATATGCCAGAAATTTGCTGAGAGGGTTGGTTGGTCTTCAGTGTTATTAACACACAGTAGATATGTGAGTCAATGTTTATGCTAATAAGCTTGAAGCCTATACAATTTTTAATCAAATCTATGCCTAAACAAAGCTGGAAATAGATATATTTGACAAGAAACAACACAATTTTATTCAGGGCTGTAAATAATATCAGAATAAATTGAAAGACATAAATTGTGACAATATTGAGAAGATTTATTATCACTACTAGCCCAAAGTGGATTTTATATTTGATGCTACATCAATAGTATACATAAGATTGCTTTTCTATGTAGTAGAATGAAGAAGCTGGCAACCACATGGAAGGAGAAATAATAGCGGTGGTGGGGGATAATGAGGAGAGAAACACAATTCCCAAATGCTAACGTCCTCAATACAATGTTTAAGCAGAAATAGTAAAAGCATCATAATCTTATCTCAGATATTACAATGCATCCAGGTGGTTATTTTCATCCAATTATAAAAGAATGATGTCTTTATAAAAGGCTTCTGTCAGAAGTTTCCAACCATTAAACCCAGCACAGTTAACAGTTTGTTTCACAGCAAGACAAACACAAACTTTAAGTGAGCATAAATAGAAATGAAAATTAAGTTCAAGAATGATAGTAGGGAACCACTGAAAATCAGAGGCAAAGAAAATCTTTACCAAGACAGAGAGTTAATGTTGAAGAAAATAAACTATATGACAATATAAAACCCAAGACCTTTTACATTGTCAAGGATCCTATAAATAAAGATGAACAAATCACAGAAATAAAGAAAAACTTGCTGCTTAAAATATAGGCAACTATTAATATACTTGAAAAGAAAAGTACTGTAATACTGATTTTAAAAAAACAGCAAATTAAATTTAAAAATGGCCCATGGATATGATTTACTAATGTAACAAATGTAAATGTTTGATTAATATGCATATACAGATATTACCATTTTTCTCATGGTTGGAGAAATGCAAATTGGTAATTTAAAAATGAAGTATCACCATGCAAGAATTCCATTACACTAGAGGCTGATTGAAAATTACAGGAGCTCTTGCTTTGTTGATGAGATACGAGGTGTTATGGCATACCTTGAAAAGACTAATTAAAATTTAAAACAAATATGCAGTTCATAATCTTATTTCTGGGAGTCAATCCAAGAGAAATAAAAACATTCAACTTTCATGTTATTCGCTAAAAATGTTTATTGCAACATTGTTGTTTTTTAAACTGGAGACTAAGGGAGCTCAAACAGAGGAATGGTTTGAACAGTTATGGCACATTCACAAGATGGAATTTTAGATTTACAAAAACAAACAAACAAAAAACCCTTCAACCAGTTAGAGCTAAGCAATTGGTCATGTACCTGACTAAATAGAGATGGATGGACTCCTATATGCATATGTATTTACATACACATGTGTGCAGATGTTTGACTATAAGAAAGATATCTACTCTATGATTAGCACAGGGGTGGTCAGAGGAGAAGAAGTAGGTAAAGATATGATAAGGATGGCAAGGCAAGAAAAAAAATCATCAAAAAATATATCACATGGTATGAATCCACTCAAATACAGGTAAAAGTGTGTCTCTATAAATGGCATACATTTGCTTAAATTATTTTTAAAAGACAAACCACTACACACAAACTAAATTTACTTTTCTATTTGAGAAAAATAAAAATACATTCTCAGAAATAATTTTAGATGGGTGGATATGAAAATTAATCTAGGGGCTGAGGAGATGGATTAGTGAAGGTCCTGAGCTGTAGAATTAGGAAGATCTGTGTTCAATCTCCATCACCCACATGAAATAAGCTGGGCATAACTGTGTGTGCCAAAACGCCAGTGCTGGGGAGGGGAGACAAAGGTGGATTGCTGGTGCTTGCTGGTCGGTTTAACCAAACTGAGAGACCCTGCTTCAAGGAAATAAGTGGAGAGTGATAGAGCAGGGTGCCTGCTATCTTCCTCTGGCCTCTGTTGGTACACACAAGGACACATACACCTGCACACACACACACACACACATACACACACACACACCTATACACACATACCTGCACACACACACCTGCACACACACACACACACCTACACACACACCTGCACACACACACACACATACACACACACACCTAATCTACTTTCATTATTTCTTTTAGTGATTCTTCCATATTTTGATTCTGATTTCACACTGCAAATTATGCTAATCTTCAATTCTGGACTTTAACCCAGCAGCATGGAGAAACAAACAGTGAGAGAGCAGTCCCTAATGTCTATTCCCTGATGGGGCACAAGAAATGTGGTAGTTTTGAATAGGTTTGGTAGTTCACGATTCTCCAGGTTCTCCAGGTCCTCCAGGTCCTCCAGGTCCTCCGAGCTGTCTTTGTTCCTATTGTTGACATGGAAACATCCTACAAACATCTAATTCTTCCACAGACAGCATGCTGTGATAGCTTAGTTAGGAATGTAACCAAGCATGCTACTGGATCCACAGCTGAGTCAGCTCTGCATGGCCTCTGCTTGACATCTCTGCAATGACAGATGTTCTTTCAGAGAGAGATGAACTTAGAGTACACCTCTTGGCACAAGTTAAGAAATGTATCAAATTTGACACTGCTGTTCTTCCTTAAAATATCACCCCAAGGAGAGTTGCCAGGGAGCAGGGCTGTAGTGTCTTTAGGACACACAGTGTTATTGGCTTGGTTCCAGGAATTTTCTTTTCATTCACAATCAATAATTGAATCTCCTAGAAAAGAACATTCTGGGTAATCTCACTTGAGTCTTGATTTCACTCTAGGTTGGAATGCTTCATCAGGAGAAAAGTACAGAACTGTCCACCTCTGCTGGGCTACAGGGTCACCCCCACCTTGTGATGGTCATCTGATTCTGAAGAGTCAAGATTCCTGAGAATTTGGGATATAATTTTTTCAAAGCGAAGGAGCTGCTGGTAGCAATAGCTATTTATACCAATAAGAAAAACAAACATTTCTGTAAGATGATCCCCTGGAAAAGAGGGTTAGCTGATCCGTTTGTCCTTTTCTGTATATGGCTCATTATCCTAAGAGTTCTCTGTTTCTTCACAAATATTTCTTAAAAGGCAATGGATACATGTCCCCAGTGGCACCTTCCATCACTGGCAACCAAATCTCTCCTTCAAGTCCATTATTTGATCACATAGCACCACAGTTTCATATCTGCTTTATTATAATGTTGTGTCATGCATAAAAGGTCAAAGATGCTTTCTGATCATTCTTCCCACGGCCGCCTTCACCTCCTTGTTCTTCAGGCTGTAGATGAGGGGGTTCAGCATGGGGGTGATGACACTGTACTGCAAAGAGAAGACCATTTCCACAGGGGACCCTGAAGCTGGTAACAGATAGCTGATGAAACCTGAGCCATAGAACAAGATCACAGTGGTGAGGTGGGACAAGCAGGTAGAGAAGGCTTTGCTTCTGCCTGTGGTGGAGCTGACCCTCAGGACAGTGGAGACAATGCGAGCATAAGAGCAGACAATCATAACAAGGGTTCCAAAGAAATGCAGGACCGAGGAGCACAGCAGGAGTATGAAGTTGGTAGAGGTATCAGAGCAGGACAGAGGGAAGAGAGAGGACAGCTCGCAGCTGAAGTGAGGAATAGTTTGGTCCTCACAGAAATCTAAGCTGACAGCAAGAAGGATATTGAGGAGAGCATCAACAAAGGCTAGACCCCAGGAGATCCACACCAGCCCCATGCAGAGCTGGTTACTCATCACCTGGCCATACAGCAGAGGGGAGGTGATGGCAACATAGCGGTCATAGGCCATTGCGGCAAGCAGACAGGCCTCAGTGCCACCGGTGGCAAACACAAAGAAGGCCTGAACCAAACAACTTTCAACAAGGATGGTTTTGTCCTCCGAAAGTAGGTTCTCCAGCATCTTGGGAACTGTGACGGATGAGTGGCACAGGTCTAGGAACGACAGTTGTCTCAAGAAGAAATACATAGGCGTGTGCAGGTGAGAATCAGCTGCAATCACAAGCATCATCGAGGAGTTTCCCACCAGAGTGAGGAGGTAAACCAGAAGGAAGAGAGCGAAGAGAATAGGCCGAACGTAAGGGTCGGTGGATAGTCCAAAGAGAACAAACTCTCGGACAACACTGTGGTTTCTCATCGCTGTAGAGATAAAAACAAACAAGATCCATCTAGACCCTTAGTACCCCTTGGCTACCCCAGGTTGAAATCTCGTTATCCATAAATCTCTGCTCGCCCATTTTAAAAACAATCTCCCTGACCATTGCTACACCATTATTAATCATCAACATTATCTTTATTACGATGCCTTTTTCTGGGCTCAGTGTTATCTCGTTACTGAGAGTGATTCATGAGAGAAATGTTTCTGATTGGAGATAGAGAAAAAAAATCCCAAGAGAGATAAAGAGAAAGTTTTAAGCAGATGCATGAACACTGTGTATTCCACAAACATTACAAGACAAAGTCAAGAGTGCTGGACTAGGCGCAAGAAAACCACAATCCTTACTCCATTGCTTCCATTTAATTTCAAATGACACCTTTGCTTATGTTATGCCTGTGTACATGTGCATTAGCATGTTCGCTCGCCCACCAGAAATTAAGAAGGCACTGAGAGAAATAAGAATTAAGCATAAACTGTGGGAATACAGCCAGAATGAAAGCAGCAATGTCAGGAAACAGCAAGACCTCTAACAGCCTAGAGGCTTTGCCTCGTAAACCTTGTATAGAAATGTGGGTAATAAACATCAATGCCAGGCCTTTCATTCTGCAGGCTTCTTCTTTGAAGCCATTTAGAGACTCTCAGGGGGAAACCTTTAAAAAATAAAATGGAAGTTTCTATTTTTGTTGTGCCTAATGCCTGAAATATCTCTCATCACTGATTTGTGCAAGTTATAGGTCAAATTTAAAACAAACAACTACCGAACACAACATGAAAAGCTTCCTTTTAGATCCAAAAACTACTATAGAGACGGAGGGTAAAGTTGATTGACCTTTACCCAAGAAGAAAATAACTCAGAGTTTATTTTTTAATCTTGGAACCAAATAAAAGGCATCATGCATAGTAACTGGCCCTCAGTGTTTATCCTTGATGGGAAGAAAAAAGACAGAGAGAGAGAGAGAGAGAGAGAGAGAGAGAGAGAGAGAGAGAGAGAGAGAGAGAGAGAGAGAGAGAGAGAGAGAGAGAGAGAGAGAGAGAGAGAGAGAGAGAGAGAGAGAGAGAGAGAGAGAGAGAGAGAGAGAGAGAGAGAGAGAGAGAGAGAGAGAGAGAGAGAGAGAGAGAGAGAGAGAGAAAGAGAGAGAGAGAGAGAGGAGCCAATCTATATAATTCAAGTGTGAGCTTCTAAACAGTTTGAAGTCCCTATGCTAACGGGCACTTGACACAAGCGGAGGAGGGGAAAGCAAAAGGCACCAAAGCTGAATGGAACCCACGTTCATGTGACCTGATTCTGCCCCAGTCCCTGCCTCTTTCTCCTTCTCCAATTAGATATGCTGTGGTGTTGGTCAAGGGAGGTGCCTTGCTTGGTTTGGTTTTATGGAGGAGCTTTCTTTAAAACTGTAGCAGTCAACACTCCATAAATCAGAAAGCAGCAAAAGCTCAGTAGATTTAGGGACAACCACGGAGATCCCTGCTGTGCAATCAATTGACAAAGATCAGAACAGGACCTCTCAGTGGGAGGGAGAGTTATCGGAGCCCTCCACACAGCTGAGGTCAGCTTTCAGAGTGCCCATCCCTGCGCGCCAGGACAAACACCGAACAACGAAGCACACTGCCCCTCACCCACGACATCCTAGTGTTTAATATTCACCCTAAAACTGCAGACCACATAGTGCGGCTACTCACAGCAAGGGGCAAAAGGTGGGGACAGAGTGAGAAAGCAGGCAGTCACCGCAAGCTGAGGAAGGTGGCCTCCAGCGAAACCAATCTTATTTTCACCGCGAGCCTGGATCGCTAGATTCACCGGAAGTACAATAGAATTACTGCTATTACAACAGTAACTCTGCATAAGAATTGCTCAGGGCTGAACACTGTCTTGAAGGACAATGAACCTGTGCTCCAGTAAGGCTTCACATCCCACCTGTCCAAAAGCAACTCAATGGCTGTCAAGATGTCTCAGCAGGCAAAGGTTCATCCCTGGGACCATCCCCCACCCCCACGATGGAAGAAGAGAACTGACTCCCATATGCTATCCTCTGAACTCCACACATGTGACACGTATCTGCCCACACCCATATGCAAACACACGTGAAAGACTTAGTACTAGATATTATTTCCATAATTGCCTTATGGTAGCAGTGGGGCTGAGGTAATACAGGAGAGCATGCTTGTTTGTGTGAGGTGAATAGTTAAGGGTTAAGAGATGGATGAATGTTCAGGTATCATCATCATCCTGCACTTTCAAAGGATACAGCAGGGCAAATTCCACAGGTGCACAAGCACAGAGCCATGTAAATGGAAAGATGAGCGCCCACACTAAGCAAATCAATGCTTGAATCTAGACTGAATTGTAATAGTATAAAAATCTTTCAACTTCCTTGTGCGCTTGCAATTATTCAAATTTTAAAATGTCTTTAAGGGCTGAGGTGGCCGTCAGTTGAGCTCAGAGCTAGAATCCACTCATAAAGAGGGATAGAGATGGGCAGGTCCTGGAGCTCACTGGCCAGCCAGTTTAGCTTACTCACAGAGTTTCAGGTCAGAGCAAGACACTGTCAACAGCAAAAAACAAGGGGCTGGAGAGAACCTCTGTGACTATACTTGCTGCTTTTCCAGAGGACCTCCGTTCAATTCCCAGCACAAGTATCTCTAACTCCAGTCCAGGGGATCAAAGGCCCTCTTCTGGCCTCTGTAGGCACCAGGCATGCACATGGTGCATAGACACACGTGCAGGCAAAACACCCATACCCACAAAATAAAATTTTAAAACATCAAAAACAAAAAAGGCACCTAATGAACAACACCCAAATTGTCTTTTGGCCTCCATGTGAACATAACCAAACATGTACACACATCCACACATGAACACACACACACAAAATTTTTTAATTATTTGATTAAATACACACATGTAAATTAAAAAAATAACTTTTACTTAATTAACAAGATTGCCTGTCAAAAGAATTAGAATTAACACAAAATAATATTTAATGCAGTTATATATGCATTTATATATATGTACACACATAGCAGTTATTGTTTTTTCCTTTATTTAAGCCTCTGGTAAACTGATATGCTCGGCTTACATGCACCCCTCTACCCTCACCAATGTACTCTCTAAGTAGGTATTATATATTTAAACATGTAGTTAAAACATCTGTTTAGTCCCCTTTTTTTTTGTTAAGTAACAGATATGAATCATTATCTCTGTGAGACAAAAATATACATAGAACTCCCTGAGTCTGTATAAAAGATGACAGACAGTAACCAAAACAGAAAAGTAGCCGATGAATCTGCTTCAGATTGCTTCAGGTCCCTGCAGTAGGAGAATGAGAGGGTTAAGATTTAGTGTCAAACAAACAAACAAACGAACAAGAAAGATTTATCAGCATGAGGAAAAGTGGTAGTTAGGAAGCAAATGAAGCCAGCTATTTTCTCTGGGGTGCCTTAACCACATACACTGGTCAATTACCTTAACGTTCATTGTGGAAAGGGCTCAGCCACTGATACTTGGGCTCTCGGTGCCAACGAGGCTGTGCCCTCAGTTCTGTAGTTACCAGCTTTAATGCCATATGTCACTGTCAAGCTTGTTCAGTAGACACCGTCAGCTCAAATACAGAAATCAAAAACAGTCTCAAGTGAATGAACCTTTCAGGGCTAATTTTTAAATGGAAATGTTTTTCTTAAATGTTATTACATGTATATGCATGCTCACACTTGAGTTCAGGTGCCTCAGAAACGGGACGTGTTGGATCCTCTGGAGCTGGAGTCACAGCAGTTGTGACCTGCTCAACAAGGGTGCTGTGAACCAAACTTGGATCCACTGAAAGAGCAGCATGTGCTCCTAACCACTGAGCCAACCGTCCAGCCCCAGTTTTCCCGTCTTCATGGTTCACCGCTGTGAGAATTTAATTGAATAATAAAAGAGCTTTAATAAGCTCTATTTCCAGTTGGATTTAAATTACTGATACCAAAGGAAAAAGAAGACAGCCTTGGCAATGGCTTGGTGGACCAAGGGAAGCTATCCCTTCTAGAGGTGTGACTGTGGGAAAGCTCAGAACAGGAAAAGACGTGAGATGAAAATGAAATAATATCTCAGAAAGCCACGAAGACAGAGCAGGAAGGAAGGGGGAGTCAAGGAGCTGAGAGAAGAAATAGGGACCTCTGGGCAGCCAAGGCATGCCCCTGGCATGTGTCCTGAAGTTCAAGAAACAAAAACATCCTACCTCAGGTGATTCCCATCAAGGAAGCATGCCCCCAGCTACTCAGTGTGCAGGTGTGTATAGTCGTCAGTCGAGGGAGCTGGATGAGGAGTGTGCTGACATGGGCTCCAGAGCTCCCCTACACAGTGGAGGGCACGTCTCTAACTTCCGTCTGCCAGTCATCACAATGCGCTTTGAGCAGTTTCTTCCTTGTTTCTTAATTCTGATCACCCGATCATTTGTCCACTTGACATCTTCAATGACGAATAGTTTGCTATTAGCATTATCTGAAGCAGGACCCCTCCAGTGTTTGTCATCAGGAGAGCAGCTTGGTTTAGAGTCAATGGGGCCGGTGGATTGAGTTAGGGGGCCTAAGAAGCAGTTGACTCAATGCCAGACAGTCCCTGGAGTCATGTGGGAGCTTGGCTTCAGCATCATTAATTAAACAGAACTTTTTCTTTTAGGGCAACAAGGGACTTTATTATGCATTAACTCTGGAAACTCTAGGTTAAAGCAATCACCTTAAACTACTGGATGAGAAATCTTGCTATGCAGATGACAGCTCACTGGAACAGAAAGACAAAAACCTGTCCCCTATGTAGGAAGACACTATTTTTCCAATGACAGAGTCCAAGGGGAACAAATGAACCATCTGAGATTTAACATGGAAGCTGAGACAATTGTGCTAACCTCCTGATCATTTTCCCATGTGTGCATGAAAAAGGTTTGTAAGCACAACCACGGTAAGTAACCAAAGGGCCAAATGACCACCAAGGATAAACTTCTTCTCATTACTGTTCTACCATACAAGAAATTACAAAACAATCCTCCATTATGTCATTAGGTATCAGATGTACTTGCTTACACAAAATGATTTAGCAGGTATGCTTGAGGTACTTTTTATGAATGTGATCCACATCCATGATCTAGATTGGTTTTGTCATT